ACATTGGAGCTGGGGGTCTGTCGGCTCTTCTTTTTCATAGCTGCCCTTAGCCTTTTTATTCTGTCTCAGCACTTGCTGGAAGGAAATGTCTAGACCATCCAGGGACAGTTCTTGAACGGGCAGTCCTCCAACTGCAAACATTTTAAGGACCTTGACGGAACGCAGCGCTGCAGTTGGAACAGCGCCACCTTGTGGTGCGTCTTGGAAGAGCTCCTGGAGAGGCTCCAGCGAAGAAAGCGGGGTTATTCCCCATGTTGGGGGGGGGAGCACGAGGCAGCACCCCCTCTCCTCCTATGTGTTTGGGGCTGAACTGCTGTGCCAGTGTTCCTGTTACACGGCTTTACCATTTGCTCCTACCTTCTGCCAGCATTCCCTGGGAGCCTGCTCCAGGCCAAGCTCGTAGGGGATACAGAGCTAAACCCAAGGTGCTACCCTTGAATAGCTCGTGGTCCAGCAAAGGATTCCACGACGGTGGCCTTGTTGTTCCTTCCAAGAAGGCCACCGAAGGTCACAGCCAAGCAGCAGAGAAAAAGATGATATAGGTGTTGAGGAGGCAAGTGGGACATTCACGGCTCAAAAACTCTGCTCCTCTCCTCCTCCTCCTCAGTTCCTTTCTTTAAAGCTCAGGCGTTTATCCTCACTTTCCAGAGCCACTTCATGATCTGGCTCACACACATCATTCCAGGATCCCTGCACCTCTGGTTCCCCCGGCCCTCTGTTCCCTGTGAAGGCTTTGTGCTTTCCCACCTCTCTACCTTTGCCCACGCCCTGGAACGCACCCCTTCCCCATCTCCCCCTCTTGAAACCCATCTGGAATGTCCCTCCCTCCCTTAAGCTCTTCTAATTTCCCTTGGCAAAGGGGCCTTGCTTCCTGAAGCAGCTCCTTGGCAGGGCTTTCGATAACAGCACAGGCTGGCTGTCCCGCGGAGGGTTATCTGCGAACATGACTTACCTTCCTTCTAGGCTTCTCCCTTCCTGAGAACACGGGCTCTGGGCTGTGCCCATCTCAGTGCATGTTGCATTCCTTGCAACACCGAGCTAGGCACATCCTGTGTCATTATTTAGAGAGGAAAGAGATGAATGGATGAATAAATGGATGGACGAGGGCACCTCGGTGGCTCCGTGGTTGAGTGAGTGTCTACCTTTGGCTCGGTCCTGATCCTGGGGTCCTGGGATTAATCAGGCTCCCTGCAGAGAGTCTGCTTCTCCCTCTGCCTGTGCCTCTGCCTCTTGGTGTCTTTCACGAATAAATAAAGAAAACCTTTTTTTTTTAATGGATGAACGAATGGACGATAGATGGACAGATGCATGACAGAGGGATTGGTAGATGGATGGATAAATGGACAGGTGAGATGTATAGGTGGATGCAGGCATGCATGGATGAACAAAAGGATGGGTGCAGGGATGGATAGATGGATGGATGAAGCAACTCTTCTTTAGAAGGATTCATCAAAAGCTATGTAGTGTCAGGGGCTTCAGGGGAGGAAGCCCACTCCATGCCAAGACATGCAGATGAGGAGAGAGCATATCCAGACTGAGCCTTCCTTCACTGACAAATGCACCCTCAGTGACTCATCTCCCGCTCCCCGGAAGTCACAGCCAGGGAACTGCTCCTTCTTTCATGCTTGCTTGGATCCTTAGGAATGCCTTCATTAACATATACTATGTTGTACAGCCTGCACTGAATGATTTTGTGGGTTTCCTTTCCTATACCCCTTCCCCTGTCTCTCACACACCCTAGGTTGGAAGCTCCCTGGAAACAGGAACCCTGCCCAAGTCTCCTGAGTCTCCCTGTAGGGCCTGGCATACAAGTTTAATGAAGGAATGAACAAATGAATAACTGAGTAAATGCCCACCCTTCTCTGCAGACACACTTTGCACACTCCCTAGGTACTCATGCCCAGCCATCTCTCTGGTCCTCTACTCCTCACATCCCATATACACACTCTTGACCCTGAATCCCCTAAAGTCCCAGAGTTATGGCCTGGTTCTGTGTTACCCATTTGTAGCAGATCTAGGGAAGTCCCGGGGAGGTCCTGAGAGTCTGAAAGGAGAGGGGGCCCTTAGGTCTTCTAAGGCCATATTAACTGGGCCCCATTTGGGACAGAAAAGGGCCTCCCTGGGAAGAACCTGGCTGTTGGGAGGGTAATCGCCTGTGCTAACCTGAGGGCTGCTGCCCCAACCTGACCACGCCCTCATGCGTCTGCTGTCCCTACACCTGACCTATGAGGCTGTCCCAAGGTTGGGGGTGGTTGTGGCCTCCGTCTCAAGGCTGGCCAGCTGGCAGACACAGCCAGATTTAGAAGTCATTTTCACAGCAGGGAGCTTCCAGCCTCCCACCCACAGTGCCATGCGGGGCCAGTCTGAGATATGGCTCTCCAAAGGGCTGGCCCCCAGACCTGCAGTCCCTCCTCCCTTCTCTCTGTCTTTCTCCCCAGATCTTTAACACCCAGTACCAACTCCACCCTTAGGCAAAGATGAAGGAAGTCCTGGGGAAGCAGGGTGTGTTGTCTTGCCACCCTAACCACCCAAACGCTCCCTGTACATCATTCACCCACTCAAGGGACTGTGTCTCCACCCCAGGGCTCCCTTCTCCTCTTGACCTGGCCTGAGCTGCGTGTTCCTCCTCTTCCCCAATGCCTACTCCTCTCTTCCCCACCCTCCTGTTCTTATACCCCCAATACCAAGGAGATAGCTCTAGAGGGAAATAATCAGACTCTACTACTCATATATCACGTATTATGTAGCAGGCATTGCTCTAAGTGCTTTTCATATTGAATCATTTAATCCTCCCAACAAGCCTCTGAAGAAAGCACTCTTGGGGTTCCCCGGGTGGCTCAGTCGTTGAGTGTCTGTCTGCCTTTGGCTCAGGGTAAGATCCCGGGGTCCTGGGATGAGGTTCCACATCAGGCTCCCCGCAGGGAGCCTGCTTCTCCTGCCTGTCTCTGCCTCTCTGTGTCTCTCATGAACAAATAAATAAAATCTTTAAAAAAGAAGAAGAAAAGCATTATTAAAAACACCATCCCAGGGGATCCCTGGGTGGCTCAGTGGTTTAGTGCCTGCCTTCGGCCCAGGGCATGATCCTGGAGTCCCAGGATCGAGTCCCACATCGGGCTCCCTGCATGGAGCCTGCTTCTCCCTCTGCCTGTGTCTCTGCCTCTCTCTCTCTCTCTCTCTCTCTCTCTCTCTCTCTCTCTCTCTCTCTCTGTCTCTCTGTGTGTGTGTGTCTCATGAATAAATAAATAAAATCTTAAAAAAACCAAACCCATCCTCTGAGGACACCGGGACACAGAGAGATTGAGTAACTTGCCGGAGGTCACACAGCTAGTGTGAGGCAGAGCAAGATCTCCACCCATGCTGCCAGGCCCCAGAGTCCATGCTGCAAACACAACGCGACCCTATTTCTCCGATAATGGCAGGAGTGTGGGAGTGTGGGTGAGCTCTTAGAAACTGACCTCCTGTGTATTCAGCCTCAAAGAGGCTTTGGCAGTGGGGTGGAGTCTACCTTCAAGGGCTGGCCCCTCTGCTGTCCCACGGGCTCACCCCCGTCTACCAGCCTGGAGCCTGGAGCCCCCCAGGCAGGAGCAAAGTCCGGGCAGATGCTCTCAGCACTGCCCTGGCCTTCCTCAGTCTCCCTCCTGGCCTGAAGTCCATTCTCTTCTCAAGCCCAGAGGCCGGAGGCACACGCTCCTTTGGGGGCTGGGCTCACCCCAGCCTGCCCCCAGTTTCACTCCTGCCTTTATCTTCCACAACTCCTCCCAATGTGCCCTCAACTCCTGTCTCACCAGACCGGTTGGCAATTTCCTACACATACCCTGTCTCCCCACATCCATACCTCTATTTTGGCTCTTCCCTCTACTTGGAACTCTTTTCCCCAAATTCTATCATAGACGCCACCTCCTTCATGGTGCATTTCCTGATCTTGTAAAATCTATACAGTCTCCTTTGCTTGACTCTTTATAATACTGCTGGCTGCTCACTCTTGGCATTATGTGTGTTCTTTTCTTTTCTTTTTTTTCTTTTCAGATTTATTTATTCATGAGAGACACCTAAAGGCAGAGAAGTAGGCAGAGGGAGAAGCAGGCTCCCTGCGGGGAGCCCGATGTGGGGATCCCGCCCTGAGCCTAAGGCAGAGGCTCAACCACTGAGCCACCCGGGCATCCCTATGTGTGTGTTTGCGTTTTCACCCCACTGCAGGCAGGCCTCACTCATCTCTTTCTTGGAGCCCAGCCGGATGCCTGCTTCCTCTTCGGGGGTCAATAAATGCTCAGTAGTTAGAACAGTCACAGTTAGACTTGCAGGCGAAAGACAGACCTCAGGGAACTTTGGTCTCCGACCTCCTCCCTCCAGCAAGAGCTAACTTGAAACCCGACATTGGGTGTCCCAGGCAGGTTCCGGGATGGACTCTCCAGGGTAATTCTGATCAGTGCTCTCCCCTCAGGTTCAGACGTCCAAAGAGACCCCCCACACACACACACTGAACCGAGGTCACCCTGCCCCAAGTGCAGGGGCCAGCCCAGCGACCTCCCAAACTGCCCTGATCTCCTACCCGGTCCTGACCCGCCTGGTCTCTCCGGGGCGGGGAGGGAGTGACACTGAGATACCTGAAGACCAAACTCCTAAGTGGCTTGAGATCGGGACTGGACGCTGAGCCAGAGCTGGAGTGACTCCTAGGGATGGGGGCAGAGGCGGGGCCTGGCGACTGAGTCTGGGCGAAGCCCCCGCCGACTGGCGGCTAAATTTACCCAGGCTGACTCAGCCCTTGCCCGGAATGGGGGGTGGGGGGAGTGCGCCGGGGCAGTGGGAAGAGCCAGCGGGGGTGGGGTGGGGGGCAAAGAAGGAAGAGACCGACTGGGGGTGACAGAGTGATCTGGGAGTTTCCATCAGAGAAGTGAGTCCCCCCCCCAGCCCCATCCCGGGTGGGGTGGGGACAGCGGAGCCCTGGGTGGAGGGAGAGGGTCGGCGAGAGGAAAAAGATGCCAGGGTTGGACAAAGGGAAGCTTAGATTTATTGAGCGCCTACTGTGTGCCAGGCACTGTACAAGGCGCTTTACATACATTATCGCATAAAATCCTCACAACAACCCTGCGAGGTAGGTGTTTATAAACCCCCATTTGACAGATGAGGAAACTGAGGCTCAGGGAGGTGAAGTGATTTGGCCAAATTCACATGTCTAGTAAATAGAGACAGAACTGTCCAAGATCCGGAGAGAAAGAGAGACTCCAGCGTCCGGGTCCCAAGCCGGGTGGCGTGGGTGAGTACAAAGAGGGGCTCCGCGCGCTGCAGAGGTCCAGGAGGCCAGAGGCCTGCCCCCGACCTCGCACGGCAGTAGGTGGCAAGGCGGGGGACCCGCGCGCAGTAACTGGGTATCTGGTTAACTAGCGGTGCCCGGGTACGGGGGGGACTCGGGAAGGAGCTACCGGGGAAATCCGCGACCTGCGCGCGCCCCGTAGTGGCTACAGCGAGTATCACATCCCACCCCTACAGGCTTTGGGGGCCCAATCTCCGCCTTCCTTCCCTGGCCAAGGTTTCTGGAAGAGGCAGAGATGCAAGAAATTCTCGGGGTTCTTTCAGATGGGTGATACCACGGGGTGAGAAATCGTGGTAACGATTCAGAAGATCACTAAGGAACACTGGGGAGGAGGGAAAGGAGGAAGGCCATGGAGGTCCCAAGCTGATTCACTGGCTGCCTTCCCTCCCCAGCTTGGACCACCACAGGCCAGGGACAGTGACAAGGCCACCATCCTGCTCTGCCTCGAGGAGCCCTCACCTAAACCTAAAGAGATTAGGATAGAAGCCCTTACCCACTTGCTCAGATCTTCTGCAAACCCTGGACAGTCTCCTGAATACTGAGAATGAGTGCAGGTGACAGTGAAGCCATCTGAGGGACCCTCAGAGTCTGTTCACTTATTCCTAATTTTCTTTCTTGGCCTGTGGAGGAGAGTGTGAGATGAGAGCCTCCGCCAAGGATCTAAAACATCAGGGATGAACTTAACCCTCCCTACATACTAGGAGGCCTGGAGGAGGGAAGTGACTTGCCTAAGGTCACCCAGCAAGTCAGGGTCAGCATTGGGATCGGAACCCAAGACTTGTAACCAAAGTGAGCCCTCTTCCTGTTTTGCTGGTTGCCTTGCCTCTGGATCCCTTCCTCTTCTGCCAAGAAGAGGCCTCTATGTCACCTGGTCACCTGAGTCAGAAGCCTGTCTCCCTCCAGCCCCAAGACCCTGCCCTAAAGTTGCCCTATGACTACACCATCACGGCCCTCCTGCCTCAACCCGGGGAGGCCACTCTGCTCCGCTCCACGCCTAGTGCACCGGCCTCTGCTGAAGACCTTACCCCAGTGCCCTGAATGGACAGGCATTAAAGTCTACTGCTCATCCTCACTCTCCTGAAAAAGAAAGGAAGAAAGAAAAGAAGACACAAGGAAAGAGAAATAAATCATGGACTGGCATATGCTCCCTTTCCTTTCATTTGGGCGGCTTCTATTTCAAGAATGGGAATGACTATGGTGTAAGGGTTACAAGGAAGTGAGGAAGAAAGAGGACCGGTGGCCCCAAGGATGGAAAGGTGGGGAACACAAATACAAGAAAGGGCCTGTCACTGCCGCTCCCTGTTTCCCTGTGGGATCCCCTTAGTGTCCCTCGTCCCGAAGAGGGCCTCCTCGGTTCGGCTGATGACATCTAGGATATCTCGGGTACTGTCGCTCAGCTCAGCGGTCTTCCCGCCATCGCCCGGCCGGGGCGGCTCCTTTCGCCAGGAGGCGCCCGAGGCTTCTGTGTCGCTTCCATCGGAGGAGCCGCTCTGGACGCTGAGCTCCGCAGCTTCGTCCGAGTCCGAGTCCGGGGCGGTGTGGCGGCGGATGCGGGACACGGCTTCCCGCAGGGCCCCCGCGTACGGCCCCGGGGTCCGCGCCCAGCCCCGGCCCGCGCGCCGGGGGGCCGCCGCCACTCCCTCCGGGCCCTCGGCGGGGGCCGCGCCTCCCGAGGCCGCCGGGCCCAGGGCCGAGCGCTGCGGGCTACCCGGCTGCGCGGGGGCGTCCCGGAGGTTTACTTCGCCCACCGGGAGCCCCAAGATGCGGGAGGCGCGCTCCTCCAAGGAGGAGTCCGCCGGCTTCCCGCCCTCGGCTTCGAACCCGCGCCCCCCACCGAGCTGGTGTGACGGGCGACTGCTCGGGAGCAGTTTTTGGCAAGGCGAGGGCAGGGCCGCGGCTCCCTCGCCCTCCTCCTGGCTGGGCCCCGGTGGACTGGGGGCATCCCCCGCGGCGCGCGGCACCCCGGCGGGCAAGAGCTGTACGTGCTGGGTTCGAGGGGTCGGAACATACTGCGACCGGATCACCACGCACGTGGCGTCAATGACAAAGACGCCTTCTCCGCGCGCAGGGCCGCGGGCGCTGCGGGGCAGGGTGTGGGCGCGGCGGGTCCCCTTCCCACCCTCTGAGGGTCCTGCCCCCGCTCTGAGACCCGGGGATTCGCTCCAGCCCGTGCCTCCTGGAGCCCAGGGTCTGGGGAGGGTCTGGCTCTGTCGGGGCGGCTGCTTTTTACGGGAGGGAACCCAGCATCTGGGGAGCCAGCTCTGTTCCCTGTTTTCTTTCCCTTCCTCGGAGCCCTTGAGACGGGGCCTGGCCCTGGGGGCGGGCCGCGGGGGGCTGCGCGCGGCGGGGGCCGACCCCGCAGGAGCCGTCTGGGCGCTCGGGCTCCCGGCAGCTCTGGCCTGGGGACGGCCGTCGCTACCACCACTCAGGCCAGCGGTCGCCGGCCCCAGGCTTCTCTCGGCGGCGCCCTTGCCGGCCTCCGGCCTCGGCGCGGCCGCTCCACAGCCCGGGGATCCCCCCAGGAGACCCCGCCCCTGCCGGAGCCCCCAAGCCCCGAGGACGTCCCGGTAGATCCGAGGATCCAGCCTCTTCTTGGCGCACCCTCCCTCTGTCCTGGCCGGAGTCGGAGCAGAGGCGGCGGGGGCCGGCGCCTGGGGGGGCTCGGGGCCTCGCTTAGACCCCAAGGTCTTGTGGGGGCCTTCGTAAGAAGGTGGAGCCACGTAGGGTGGCGGGCGGTCCCAGCGTCGTCGCAGGGCTGTCCCGGCTGCGCCTCTCAGCAGCAGGTGAGCCTCGTAGCTGGGGGGCCCTGGCCGCCTACCTCCCCAGGGCCCCGCCCACGCCGCCCCTGGGTCGCTCTGCGGCTGCGCGGATGGACGGGGCGGTCGCCCCGCCGGCCCCAGGCGCTCGGGTCGAGAAGGAGCTGGGGGCCCTACTGGCTGGGCCACCCGAGGGCCGCTCCGAGGTTCCGGGCGGGGCCGACCGGGGGGGCTCCTTCGGGCCCCACCAGCCTTGCGCCTTTTTCGCTCGGTCTCCTTGGCCTCCCGCTCCTGCGACGCTGCTTTCCTTTTCTCTTGCTCCCGGGCTCGGGCCTCGGCCGGGGGCCCCGCCCGCCAGTTGGTCGCCTCCTGCAGCACCCTGGAGGCCCAGGGACGGCGGGGCGGCGGCTCAGGGGATCCCGGGCGCGGCCCACACCTGGGACAATGAGCAGGAACCCAGGTGAGCAGTTTGTGGGGGAAGGGAGCCGAGGTCCGGGGAGCTGGGAGCACTGGAGACCATTTGGGGCAGCCATGTGCAGGGGTGTGTGTGAGTGTGTGCGTGTGTGCACGTGCGTATACGTTAGGGCTGAAGTCGAAGCCGGACTCCGCGCCATCTCTCCATGCACACTTTAACAGCGTCTGCCCCATCTCACCTCCTGCCCTTTCTCACACCCACTCCTGCCCCCCCAAACAATGCGGGGAAGAGTCAGGCCCCAGCCCTCGGGATGGGGTAGGGGGAGGCGTGGGAAAGAGAACGGGGTCCAGCAGCACTGGCTGGTGCCTGCGGGGAGGTCCGGACCCCACTCCCCGCCCCACCACTCTCTTCCCGTCACCCCTCCTTCACTCACGTGCGGCTCTGGGGCCCGCGGGCCCAGTGGCTGGCTTGGAAGTCCATGGGCTGTCGAGGAGGGGCGCGGCGACTATAATGACAGGAAATAGTCTTCACTTCGATCACCAGCAGCTTGGATTTCTGCACCCAGAGGCAGCTGCCAGACTCCTCATCCTGGGGCTCCCGGGGGCTGTCGGGCCCCTCGGAGAATAGCTGGCCATCCAGCATCCTGCCCCACCCCACCCCGGCCCCCCACCCTCCCACCCGCCCCGAGAGCCCCCTCCCAGCCCGAGGAGCCGGCGCCCACTGCAGAGCGACGGGCCCAGAGACTGGGGACTATATATACCCCGGCACACGTGTGTGCCTGTCTGTGTGTGTGTGCGCGCGCATGTGACACGGTGCGGCGCGGACGGCACCGCGCTGCTACCTCCCCCATGTGCACGGCCGCCCCCTGGGGCCCGGGATTGGGCGCCCCTTCCCACCGCTCATGGCCCCCAAGCCTGTTGGGACCTGCGCCAGTGGGCAGGGGACCTCTTATTCTTGCCAAGCTGACGGTGCCCTTCCCCCACCCCCGTTGCTCCAACCTTCCTGCCGTTTTAACCCTTAGCTCTTCTGCTGGTCGGGGTGCCCCACCACCAGTGTTCTGCCACCGACTTCCTGCCTCGGACTTCAGTTTCCCCGACAGGGAGGTGAGGGGAATGGAACTCAAGGTCTCTGCCTGCCACTCTCTGCTGGTTTCCATGGGGTTGGGGTGCAGGGGGTCTATTTTTAGCGGCAGTGGCTGTTCGGGTGCAGAGAGATGAGTAACCAGCTTCCATGCGGTGGAGGGAGGAGGCGGTGGCTTTCACACAGCTTTTATGTGGCTCTGGGGGAGAGCTGCCTCCCCCAAGCTCAGAAAGGGTGACCCCCACACCCTTAACTCCTTACCCTCTCAGTGTTGCAGCCCAGCGCTGCTGGTCGGACACAGGAGTCTGTCTTGGCCATCAAAACTGTCCCACGATCCTTATGCTAGCTGTTTGTCCTTGGGCACCCATGGAGCCCTCTCCTCGCAGCAGGCTCTCTCCCGCAATCCAAAAGCCAGGATTTGGGGGTCATACTGTTCTGTGCCCACACAGCTCTGCTCAGCCTTATGGAGGACAGACTAAGGTACTTATGCATTTGCACCCTTTCAGAAGGGATGGAGGAGGAATGGTGTGTTCCCTTGGCAAAACCAGTCCCCTAGCAACTGAAATGCTAAAAGTGGCCCCGATTTCCCAGTGTGGAGCTCCCCATCACCACCACTACAACAATGCCTAGCTCACTTAGCCCCCACACCTGAAGTGGTGCTCAAGATGCTCACCTTTTACGCTCATTCTGTCCCAGGGGCAGGGGGTGTTGCTTACATCCATGTGATCCCTCCCCCCCAAGCCTATACCAGGTGTCCCCTGATTCACCATGGTAATGTTAGTGGCTGCACAGCCCACGCCAACCCTTCCATGCAGAGACTTAGCAACCATGCCTGGCAACCATGGCAGCAGCTCCAGTGGAGGGGAGGGGTGCAGAGAGGTGGGAGAAGAGTGTGTATGGCAATGGTTCCTGAAGAAAAGGGATAATTTGCCTCTTCTGAGAGGAATAGGTAAGAATAGGCTCTGAGGCTCCTTAATTTTGTTCCTTGTCTTTCCTTCTGCTCCATTCTCAGATTCTGAGACTGACTGATTAGGTTTTAGGGGAGAATGGGAGAGGCAAAAGATCATGCAGCCCTTTGGGTACAGGCCCTTCCTTTTAAGAAGGTGGGGCCAGAAGGGTTGTTGTTAGTAAGAGACTGACTTAATGAAAACCAGAGCAACCAAACCCAGGCCCCCTGCTCCCTAATATGGACCTTTAGAGATTTAGAGATAACCCAAACAGCCCCTACTCCATCCATTTGATAACCCCCCTCCCCCGCTTTACACACCTACCAGCTGCACTCTGGTGGCTCTTTGCTTGAAGGTGCTTCCTTCTACCCAGGTCCCACCAGAGTCCCAGGGCTTTTTAAAGCCCTTGCCTCCTCCCTAGACAAATTCTCCATGATGGAATGTGACATAAGGAGACATCTGCCCTTTCCACCATGCACTCACCCCCACACACATAAACATACCCTAATTCTATTAACTTGGAAGCCTCCCTCCCCCAAGTCTGAGAAGGTGCTGTGAGCTGTGGAGAGGTGAATGCAGAAGCAGGGGCTTTCTCCAAAGCCAGGATGACAGCCCTGACAGCTGCCTTGAAATGTTTCTCCATGCGCCATGAGGAAGCCTACTTTGGAGGAACCGGTATGGTAGGGCAGGGTTCACCAGAGTTCTTGGTATAGTGTGGGGAGGGGCAAGGAGGTACTCTGAGATTGCTTCTGGTCTTGGACAGGAAATGGTATTAAACCTGCAAGTCAGTGGTGAAATGGTACCCAAAATTTGGCTCAGGCCGACAGTCTAGCGGTCCTTATGGTGTTTGGTGTTGACCTGTTTTGGCTTATTTGGCTTCAGCACAGGTAGAGTCTGCTCCCTCAGCCCCCAGCTCATTCTCACCTTCGAAGAATGGTGAGCCATTTTGTAGGTTCAAAGACAGTGCCAGCTCAGCAAAATTCAAACAGAGTCAAACCTTCCCTGATGAAGAAAAGCTGATGGCCGTGGCATGTCTCTCTGCCTAAAGGAGACCCTCAGTCTCTCTATTCTCTGGAGACCTCATGCTGTTAGGAGATTCTCCTGGGGTCCCAGCTATGGTTCAGGCAGAGGGGAAAGTGAGTAATAAAGAGAACTGCAGGGAACAGGGTAGGAAACAGTCATGAATGGAGAAATGGAAAGGCAGTAAGTCTAGTGTTAGTGGTAAAGAGCAGGAGTCTGGGGCCAGACTCTGGGCACAAATCCTAGCTCTATATTTTACTAGCTGTGTGATGTTGGGCTGGTTACTTAGCCTCTCTGTCCCTTAGTTTTGTTTTGTTTTTAAATCTGTAAAACTGGAATCATATCTACTATGGTTCTGAGAACTAATTAATATGCATAAAGCACCGGGAATGGTGCCTGACACAGTTTTACATATATGTGTGGGTAAATGTATGTGCCACTATTCCTGTTGTTGTTAGTAGTGAGTTGAAGAAGCCATAGGAAGTAGGACGGTTGGAGCAGTAGTGTCTGTCAACTACAAGAATCAAACACTGCAATACCATGAAGAGGTTCCTGTCATTTTAATTAGGTTTGCCATGAAAAGCAATAACCTCAGCTAATCACTCTGTCCTCCTCCTCCACCTAACCCCCATCTGCCTTCATATGCACACAGCACAAGAATCCAAAGGCCCTCCTCCCCGCAATCCTCCCCACTCCCATTATGGGAAGAAATGTCACTAAATGGACTCAGCCTCCTCCATACAGCATGAAACAGGATGAATAAAAATATCTTTAGGAAGAGTTTTGTTGTGCTGTTATCTTAGGGTGGAGTCAGGGGCAGAGATAGAGGCAAAGGCTGGGTGAGGTCTGGGGATCTCTTAGAGATCAGAATTTGCGAGGGGCACACGGCCCATCATTCACCCAGAAAGGGGGCTACGTCTTAGACGGCAGGGGCTAGGCTGGGCTAGCTGTATGTGTGAGGATAAGGACTGCTAAAAATCCATTCTCCTTCCTCCCCCCATACCCTCCCCAGCTCCCAAGCAGGGAACAGAGTCACAATTTTCTCAAGGGTTCATCTGTGATTCCTAGAACTTTGGTCAGGCAGTGAGTGGGGGCATATCCCCTTGTGCTGCCTGACCCCTTCCCCAGCTCAGAGCTTCTCTCCTCCTGTGAGCACCAGGGCCTGCAGGATGTCAGACAGTGATACAATCCCCTTGACCACATCATTCTCATCTACCACTACAAGTCGGTGAACCTGTGTGGAGCAACAAGGGAGAAAAGGGATGTTTAGTGACGGCCTCAGTTAGGAGGAGTCCTTCAACCCCCACCCTCCGTGCCAAATCCCACACTCAAAGCTGCTCTCCCTAGCTCCTTCTGGGCCACTGGCCTCCCTACCTCTGCTTCCACCAGCCTGTTGATGATGGTCTCCAGAGTCTCATGCAGGTAGCACTTGAGGACACCCTCAAAGTAATGTGATCTATGTTGCAGGGCTTTGGTCACAGACACATCTAGGTTGTTGTAGGTCTTTTCTGCTGCCAGATTCTGGGGAGAGAGAGGAAGGTGCTTGCAGGGAAGCAAAGAAGCCAGCCCCCAAACCCTGAGCCCACCCAGTTGCACCAGAGGGATTTAGGGCAGTTGTTAGCCATGCCCACAAGCCACACCCAACTCGTTCAATTCCTTTTCCAATTAGAAGAGACTCTCTTCTCCCTCTCCACATTCAACAGCCCGCCCCTTTCCCTCCCTCCCAGGCCCTCCGCAATCACTCACGATAACATCAAACTTGGAGTAGATGTCCACCACGCGCCCTAGGGGGGCAGAGGCAGCTCAGCAAGGAGGGTCTGGCATCAGAGGCTCCCCTTGCCTGTAGCATCACCCTCCGGGCTGAGCTGAGGGACAGCAGATTTTCCCAGAACCACCCTGGCTTCCCTGGAGCCCTCCCTCTCTTTCTGTGCAATCTCTAACCTTTCTCGTCTACTACTGGTAGTGCTGAGACTCGGTGTTGTACAAAGATGCCCAGAGCCACGTAGACAGGAGTGGTGGTACGGACCATAGCAATGTTGGCATAGGTGCCAATCTGTAATTCTTCCAGAGACTTCGACATGAACTCTGGCTTGGGGAACTCAGTGATCTGAGGAGAGAACCATCAGCTTGATCTTCAAGACCCCCCACATCATCCTTGGACACCCCTCCAACCCAGTATATAAGAAGTAAAAACTAGCGGCGCCTGGGTGGCTCAGCCAGTTAAGCATCCAACTCTTGATTTCAGCCCAGGTCATGAGATTGAGCCCTGCATCAGGCTCTACGCTGGGTGTGGAGCATGCTTAAGATTTTCTCTCTCCCTTTCCATCTGCCCCTCATACCCCTGCTCTCTGTTTCTCTTTTAAAAAAAAAAAAAAAAAAGAAGTAGTAGTAAAAACCAGGCTGAGGACACTTACAAACAATTTGAGGAACTTGAGGATGCGCTTGTGGGTGAGGATGTACAAGGTGTTGCCCGATTCCGGGTCAATAACTGGCAGCCTGTGGATCTTGTTTCGAATTAATGAAGAGACAGCATCAAACAAGCTGTGGGAAGGTGGGGGATAATGATAAGTCCCACAGTGCTGAGCCTGAGCTGGCTAAAGAGCTTCTTGGAATGTGTCTATAAGTAGGGAAAACTGGTGGTTGGGAGAAGGGAGCAGTGTTCAAACCACACCTACAGAGTGTGTCAGAGTATGCGCGTGTGTGTTTGGAAGGAGAGCCTTGTCTCTCTTCTGCCCCTGGATCTCTGGGTATTTGGGCTTTAGCTGTGCTGGTGCCAAGGCTCTCCCCCTTCTGGATGAACGGGCAGCGGGAACTCACCTGGCATTAGGAGAAATGCAGACAAGTGGTTTGAAGGAGTCTTGTAGGTACACCTCTGAAGGGAAAAGGGAGGTTCACAAAATACCGCTATGGAAAACCATTTCCTAGGAAACTCTCCGTTTCTTTTTCCTTTTACGACCCACTCCCCTTGTCTACATACCTCTCCAAGTTTCTATTTTGTGTTCTTCCAGCTCATAGATCTGTACCTGGAAGCAGAAGCACAGAACTTGAGCCTTCATCATTCTGCTTCATTAACCCCTCAGAGTCTGCTTAGAAGAAAGGAACTAAGAATGAGGGACTTTGGATGGGCAAAGTAGTTTTGGTCGTTGGGCTACGGTGTCTTACCAAGGCTGATTTATAATAACGATGCAGGATATTGATGAAATCGGTGATGGTCAGCATGCCTAGAAGCCAAGACAAGATCCCTCAGCACTGCTCAAAACTTCTCTCCCTGCCCACACGTGATGCCAGTAATACTGTGTTCCAGAAACTTTTGCCTACCCACAAAACTTTGCTTCTTACTATCCCACAAAGGGGCAGCTCGTACACCATTAGTCACCAAAGCAAAGAAAGCTTTCTTCACCTGTAGCCAAAAGAGTAATCATCACAAAGGAAAATTCACAGGGTGCAAGACTTTAAAAGAAGAGGGGCTGGGTATGTTGGGGAAAACATGAGACTAAACCCATATGAGGACAAGGATATTACCCTTGGGATGAGATAGGATGAGAGTTTTTGAACCAGAGGCTCCTAGGAAGGGGGATGGGAGAAGAGGATTTCACCCACCTGCAGGGAAGTATCAAATACAACCAATTTGGAGCTTGTGGGAATCAGGTCATAGCAGCGATGAGACTTCATGAAGGAAGTATACACACTATTGTTGGATTCTGGGGTCTCTGCACAGGGTGGGATAGTTAGAAGCTTCCTTCCATGCAACGACTCACAATCAAAAGAGGCAGAAAATAAAAGTGTAGTTGTTCAAATATTTAGAACCTGATTTTTTGTAAGGCCCCTTTTCTGATTTGTTCCTATTATTCCCAGAAAATCTAGATAAGCCCCTCAGAAACTATTTCATCCAACCTCCATATCCAGATAGGACTCTATCTACTGGCTCCTTTAGGCAAAAGATAGCTACTAAAACAGAAAAATCTATTAATATCTTTCATTATCCTGTTGTAATCTAAAAGTTTTTTCTCATCTTTAACTCAAATTTCCTTTTCATAGATTTAAGCACATTTTCACTTGTTCTCTTTTCTCAATTAAGATAATTAAGCTTCTTAAAATTCAAGTAAGCTTCTTAAAGCTCTTCTAAGATCTGCAGATGAAAAAGTCATGGTCCAAAATGGGCCATTTCAGATCACCACTCAGTTGGAGCCCAGTGCTCAATTAACCTGACCCTAAACACCCTGAGAGTCCATCTTGGGATGACCCTCTGAATCAGAAATCATCCCACCTACTCTAGACAAATGGAAG